GTCAGTGTATACTGAGCACACGAGCAGGTGCCTGTGGATTGAGCGGTGTCTCAAATGCCTCCGCACGCCGCTGGCGTCCACTAGCTGCAGGCCGACCGTCATTGAAACAGGAGATGTAATCTGCAGACACACCGCGCACCTGGCCACAGCACTTAAAGGAAGTATTGAAGAGGTCTGAAGACAGGCTCTGCCAAGCCTTGACAACCATGCCACCCAGGACGGTCTTGGAAACGGCACGAACATTTCCGGCAGCAGTCTACCGTATGTTTTCTGGCCAGTGCAGAGCCACTCGTTATACTGCTCTTGCAGAGAACCCTTGAAGGGCTTGTTCCAGCTCACGTCTGGACCTTGAATCAGGCCAGTGCAGCCTCCGGGAACCGTTACACAGTCTGCATTCTGCTGTCGCCGTTGCTTTGTCACAGGCTGACTACGGTGGCATCTGTACGAATCCCAGATGAGTAGCCGAATGCGATGGTACCCAACACTCTCTTCAGCCAATCAACGGTGAGGCCAGTGTTGAACCAACCATTGTTCGAGAATGCCACCTGAATGTCACGCCTGGCCATTAGCAGTTTATCATCCGCCGTTTTCCCCTTTCCCTTGAAGATTATGAAGGGTAGTCGCTTGGTGCCGTCAGCTGCAGCAGTGAGGGCCACGGTGACATTCTGTTCCTCAAGGCCTGCCGACGCCAACGACACAGTACGGCTACCAACAACATTCATAGTCCGGTTGCTCACAGCATGAAACCAAACAGCTATTTCATCCATCGCATACACCCTGCTGGACTGAACCGCCGAGTGAACGGCGAAATACGAGCGGAGATACAACACGAAGTCGATCAGCTTGGGTATTGAATCCTCTGGCACCTTTGCACTCTCATGAGTTTGGATTCGAGTGGCCAGCTGATGTGGAATGAACAAGTTTTTGCACCTGGTGACCAGTCCGAGCTTGCCTCAAAAGGCTCCTCAATCGCCATCTCGGTATGGAGTAACTTGGTTTTTCCCGGATGGATTTGCGAGTCACTCGTCGTCGCTGCTGGCGTTCACCAACAATCCACTCGAAGACTGCGGTTTCCAACTCTGCAAACTTCAAGGATCCACCACCTCCAGGCAACCTTGCCTGCGCGATACGCTTCACCTTTCTCTTGGGCAAGCAAACCCGCTTCAGTTCGCCTTCACCTGCGGACCATGCTCTCGTCAACTTCATGAGTGCGAGCGGCGACAGCATTCGACGAGCTGTTCGCTGACTTTGCTACGGCTAGCTTGAAAGTCAAGCTGTAATTTGTTCGTTTGCCAGAGTTCTCGGCAGGCATGGTGGATCCTGGAAGACAAACTACAAACAGTTCTTGCAAGCTTGACACACTTTGGAGTCAACACGTGGTGCACGTGGAGATCGTGACAAGTGGTTCCATAGAAGCCATGCACCCAGCGGGTACCGTACTCTGGTACATGTACTCGATTGGCATGCACGGCTTCGCACGCGACTCGCTGTGACTTGGCTTGTATGCACGACAGGCTTGTACGCAATAAGCCCGCACGATGTTTCGGCTTCTGTGCGACGCCGGCTTCTACCCGCAACTTTACGGTATGACAAAGAAAGCATGTTGCCAGGTAGGGGACTCGCTATTCAGAACAGTGCTTCAGATCACAACCAGAAACTGGCATTCAGTCATACCGTTGCAACGAACAATGCCCCGTCCACTCATGCACACACACACGCACACACTTGTACTTGTTGCTCACTGCCAAAACTGGTCACGTGGGTCTTCCCGGGAGATGGGAGAGAGACTCAAAAGGAATCTTGGACAGATGACTCAATTGGCTATTGAACCCCCCAACGGCCGACGCCCTCTGAAATCCCCAAAACTCTGGGTGGACTTAATGATCCCACTTATGGGCTCACCACACCTCAGTAAGTGGGTGAGGACAAGGTGCAGAAAAAGGATTTGACGGCATCAGGGTATCCGTCCAGGGATCCAACTGCAGTTACCCCTGCCCCCAGTGAAGGTAATACTTGCTACTAGTGTGGGTGGCTAAATCAGAGTGGGTCTGATACAAGCTTCACTAGCACATGGACCGCTTCTGGCTAGATTAATTCTTGTGTAATCACACACACACACACACACACACACACACACACACACACACACACACACACACACACACACACACACACACACACACACACATCCATGCACACACACGTGCGCACAGCCAGCTTCGGACCCTCGCTATGCTCGCTTGTTCTTCATCTAGGCCCTCATACGGACGGTTTATTCGGCTAATCTGGTGCTTAGTCACGTGTCGCGTGTGAACACTACATGTATGCGCCCTGGCACGTGACATGCCAATATGCACAGCACACATACACGTCGATACCAATTTAAGCGCTGTGGACCCTGGCTGGCGCCAGGCGCTACTACTATTCGTAACATTTGACTCTTCTGTATAGCTACGGGAATAAAAGTGACTGGACCCTGGCTACGCCAGGCGTACTACTCCCCTTACGCCAGGCGTACTACTCCCCTTTATGACATCCCACACATTTGACGTAGCTTTTTGAACAACAAAAGTTCCGAATCCATTTGATGCGTGTTGCGTCTATTGTCTGCTTTTATCGCATCACAGAAGTCTACTTTGGTGGTGATACGATTAGCTATGAGCGTGCTCAGTGCTTCACGTGTCCGTTGTGCGGCCAAATGGGCTTCACTGAGCGTCGCCTACAGGAGCACGTCGTCACTGAGCATGACAACGCCAGCAAGGAAGTGGTACGTGGCAGTGCGTTTGGTTTGCTGGTTTGTTTTTCGCACACGTGCAATGCATGTGTGCACTGTTGTTCTGCCTGCACTGGCTACCAAGCACAGTGCCTCTCCCTCTCTGTCTCTCTCTCTGTCTCTCTCTGTCTGTCTGCCCCCCTCTCTCTCTCTCTCTCCCTCTCTCTCTCTCCCTCTCACTCCCTCTACCTCTCCCTCTCTCTCTGGTCATGAAGCATCAGGCGAAACATGCAGCCACACCAGTAGCCAATAAAGAGGCCCCAGCATTGATGGGGGGAGCATAAACAGGACCGCCGGAAGCAGTTTTTGATTGGTCCGGTAGTTTTATGGCCTTTCACACTTTGTTTATGATAAATATATTATAATAATGTACATGTAGTGGGTACACATGCCCTCGAAAGTAGGAAACACAATTCTTAATGAAGTGATACCCCCGACACAAACTGCACAAACAAGTGTGACATTCTTTGAAAGTTTACTTTTGGCTGACCGGTTTCACTACTAGGTGTAGATCATCAGAGTCAAAAAGGTTGGCCCGGTGATAACCTGACCAACCAGACCGGTTCCGGCGGGCCTGATAAATAACATATCCATTGGCCGTTCACAATCCGAACTGAATACTGTGCCCAGGCTAACGTGAAGACAGGTAGGGGAAGCAAGCTGAGTTGGGAATTTTTTGTGGCTGTTGATTTACTGGGGCGCTTTCGTCCGGTTGAGTGCAGGAAAGAAGTCGGGTGAAATCCGCGGCAGCTGTAAGGGGTGAGGAGGGGGGTGGAGGCATCCGCTTCTCTTTGGTTAAAACAATTGACCACCGCCGTGTTAGTTTGTAATTCTCTGGTCTCGCTCTTTGAAGATACACTTTGACAGGGCTGCGGTCACTACGGTATTGACCGCTCTACCGTAATTCCCCGAATATAAGTCGCACCTTTTTACACTTAACTTCAGGGCCAACACCAAGGGGTGCGACTTATTATCGAGCATGACTTACTACTGAAGTGAATATGTCAAAACGATATGACATGGTCCTGGAAATGGGGGTGCGATTTACAATCGAGTGCGACCTATAATCGGGGAAATCCGGCACTCTGTGCGCCAGGTACCCCTTGAATTCATGAATTGCTAGTATTTAGTTTGCACGAGGGAGAGGGAGGGGGGAAGCTGTGCTGCAACTCCGAGCTTCGCACACTTGAAGTAGTCACGATCATCAGGCAGCATAGTTGTATGATTACATGATGGTCAGGGTGAGATCAAGGATGCTCCTGGTGCACGTCCAAAGGTTGACCGTGGCACCCGAAATACCTTCCGGTGGCCTTGTTTGATGCGTCGAGAGATAGGGCAGGTTAAAGCCTTCGGATGCACCGGTTTGACTAGCATTTCTGTGTCTGGGTGTTTGTGTGTGTATGTGTGTGTCTGGGTGTTTGTGTGCATGTGTGTGTGTTTGTGTGTTTGTGCAGGTATGTCCATTGTGTGCAACCCTTCCAGGTTGGGATCCTAACACGACAACGGACAGCCTGGTAGCACATCTGGCTATGGACCATCGTTCTCGTCAGCAGCAGACGGACAATGCGCATGTATCCTCAGATATTCTGTCTGTGTCTGTGTTTAGGGGGGGGGGGGGGGGGGGGGTAGGTGTGAAATTTCTTTGATCCCATCTACGCGCTCACCACACTGCAGCACCATGGTAGGAGGAGAGAAATTTGAAAGCCCACCTGCAAGTGCATTTAGCATCTGGCGAATATTGCATGGGTTTTGGAACTTTTGGTACGAGTGCTCAACTTGCCCTCGCCAATGCCACCACCACCGGGATTCTTGCTACTCTCTCCACTAAATCCTGAGTAGCGCGCACGGAGTCCATGAGATGCATGCAATTAAGGTGGCGTGTCAGGGAAGGTGTGTGGGGAGGGGGGGGCTTTGCCATAGTGACGTATCAAGCGAAGCCACTGTCAGGTGTGTCTGTCAATTTAAAAAAAGGATGCATTGGAACAGCATCTGAGCATTGTGAAGTTCCTTAACTGATTTGCATGTGGCGCACAGGAGGGCGAGGGCATGTCGTATCCATCTCACATCCGCCGCATGTTGCAAGCCCGAGCTGCCTCTGGCACATCATCCGCCACCCCTGCCAGCTCACTGGGACGATCGCCGTTCAGCTATGCCTCGCTGAGTCGCTCCCAGCCGCAGGCATTCGGTGGCTCGGAGTCAATTCGCAATGCAGGCAGTGGCGGCGCCTCCTCTGCGGCGTGGGGCGCCTCTCCGCAGTACTCACCCCCACCGATGGCCTTGGACTCTGCCGTTCCCGTGTCATTACTGCAGCCTAGTCTTGGTAGTGGTGGCGGTGGCACGGGTTCTGCTGGTTCGTCTACACAGCCGGCGCAGGACAATATCAGCCAGGACTTGGTGGACTTCATCACGCAGATGTCACATGGCGAGCAGCCTACGTCAGGTGAGTGCACGCTGTGCTAGAGTGGGTGGTATCGGTCTGTAGGTGCTCGTGTGTATGTTTATTGGTGGTGGTAGTGGCTATCTTCACAGGCGCGTGTTGCTCCTGCTGTTGATGTTTATGCACTATGGCATGGAGCAGCATGCACTTGAAGGCGTCTGCTTATGCTGGCCTTGACTACTCAGTGTGCTGATCTTGTACACATTGTATGCAAGGCTTGGGGTGGGGTAGGGGGGGGGGGGGACATGTCCCCTGTGCTAGGCACCTGCTGTACAAAGGGGCGGATCCAGGAGGGGTTCCACAGAACCCCTGAAATTTCGTAAAATGGCAACCATATGCGCGTCCATGTATATGTATCACAGACCCTGTGATTTGAAAATAGGTGGCGAGTGATCTATCGCTCTCCTCGCCTGTGTCAGGCGAGCTGTAGGAGAGTGATCCAAAAATTCTCACTCCAAAAACACAGCACATTATTGATATCATTTTTTAGAGAAAAAATTCTGGATGCTTTCTGAATTTCCACCATTGTCTTGAAAGATGACAGCGGTGGGCCGTTAACTGCCATTAAATATGCAGTGTGGAAGAGCTTTTCGTATGCGTCCTCCGCTTGGACTAGAATAGCTGTGTGGATGCGTGGCTGCTAAGGCGCTTGTGTTGCCTTGCTCCCTGATGCAGACGTCGACGATGATTCGTCGGTGTCACCCAATAGCTTCGCACGGCTCACTCCGATGCTATGCGCCTACATGACAACAAGCGAAGAAAACAAGGAGAATGGTCGCGAGTCCGATCGACTTTACTTTCGACATTGAATTGACCACTTACCTGTCCAGACAAATGTCGAGTGACAGCGTGCTTCGTCACTAGTCCGATCCCTCCACAAACCTCAACGCATCGACCTTCGCTTGACCTCTCAGCCATAGAGTCGCTCCGGATAACGTCAGAATACTTCGCACACGACTTGCACCACACTTTCACGACCAGCTCTTTACCTTCCTTCTTCACCGAGTTGAAGCCTATGTCCTCATCTACTTTCCAGCTGAGGAAAGTGGACAACTGCACACTGTTCCCTTTCGACATTTCTACTGCTAGCAGCAGCAGGAGATCACCAGCAAGGGATCATGTCGCAAGGAAAGAAAACAACTGGTATGATCAACTCCAGTTGACCAATTGGCCTTTTATTCTAAGAGTAAGAGGACGAAAGCGCCATTTGGGTGCATTTACTTGCAACGCATGCACTAGCAGAACTACCAGAACTACTAGTCTATGTCAGACTGCGGTCTATCTTGCTACTCGGACCCGCCAGGCGCTAGTTCAGAGGGTTGTACGGACCCCTGCGCTGCATGCAGGGGTCCGTAAAACCCGTTGAACTGGAGTGTTTCATGAGTGGTGGTAGATCTACGCGGCACAGCTCTGACTAGTTCAAGCCGCAATCATTCATCCAGACGTGTGAAATGCCCCGAGGTCATGCCAGGCTAGCTGGGCGCGCCAGTGCAGTGCCTGTGTCACACTCACAGTGTAGATCTACGTGCAGTGAACTTGCCTACTCAGTACTGTGCATGTCACTACACATGACTAACTCACTGTCTAGTCTGTTTCATAACAGCGCGAGCGGGCATAGTTCCGGCCTGCGCACGGATCGATGAGTACACTTGACACCATACACTCGTACTAGTCATAGTACAGTAGTAGTTGCGCTGCACTCCGAAAAGCGTACATGCAGCCAAAAATAGTTTCAGGCGCGCGACAAAAAGTGCACCTTCCAAGAAAATAAGGCGCGCGATGGCGCGCGAGAGCGATCGCTCGCCTCAAATCACAGGGTCTGAGTATCAGCTATTCAGTTTTGACTATACTGGAACCCCCCCTGTAGAGATCGCTGGATCCGCCGCTGGTACATGTACATTATTTGTTTCAACAGTCCCAAACAGTTTGACAGTGCGTGAATACCTTCAACGATCAACATGCCTGCTGGATCATTGAAAAGTGGGGCTTAACATACTGTGAAGTCTTGTATAAAAGCCGCGGCTTCTATGACTTTCTTGGCGAAATTTTGCAGGCTTCTATGCAAGACGGGTATTTCTATGTATGTCAACACTAAAACCAGCAGGCATCTTGATCATTGAAGGAGAAACAGCGTGTGCTCTTGTGGTGCCCATCTGGAGGTATCTTCCCGTGTAAACTGCCAAAACTTGGTTCCACCTATTATATCACGGCCATCTTGGTTTTCGATTCGTACAGTACGTTTCTCGTCTTGTCCCCCATTGCATCTCTATCTGAGAGGCTCTGCTCTGTTTGTTAGCTGTAACTGTATGTGGTGTACACTGTAAAACAGGTCGTTTTCGGTGTAACTTTAATTTTGGTGATTTCGGTAGAGAAACCAGGCACCTGAATTTAAATTACACCTAAAAGCCACTAGAGTATGCACTGTATGTGATGGGAACGCTGCTCACCTAATCCTACATTACACCTGAAACCTGGCAGGCCTCTGGCACCGATTTTTTAATGCACCTAAAATTACATGTTTTACAGTAGTCTGGGGCTGCCCATGTGTACATGGCTTACTCTATTTTCTTGTACTATTTCCTCCGCTCTATCCGTGCAGCATCCTCTGATGGCCGTTTGCTTGCAAGTATGTTATTGTTGCGTTTGTTAGAACTGCCTGTAGCTGCGATGCTCCCATGTACATGTGCAGTGTAACCCACCGAGTGCGTGCTCTGATAAAGTTAGAGTATCTAGTGTGGTATAGCTCTGCTCAAGTGAGTATTGAGCGCTCTATTGGACCGTAGGACTCGGCCGTGAGTATTGAGCACTCTATTGGACCGAGGAATCGGCTCCCGGCACTCTGATAAGACGTACTCTTGCCTAGTATGGACATTTTCCGGAGCACGGGCGTTTAATTCATACTTGAAAGTGTGTTGGGACAAGAAGTACATTGTATACTAAGTGCACTTTCCTGCTCCCCGGGCCGTGGGTGTACGTCGTCTCAGGGCTCTACTGTACATGTGCAAGCAAGAGTACATAACTTGGGGCTTACTCAATCTCCGGACAGCTAGCGGTTTCGACCTTTTTTAGCTCTCCTCAGCGGAGCTCAGAGTCACTGGCCGCACCGATCACAATGAAATCCAGTGTACAACCAAGTGTTTTTTTTTGTAATCGGCTCAAAGCATGAAAGTCAAAGTGCTCTAGCTGCGAGAAACACGGTGAGCTCTGCACGAGGGCAGGTAGGGTAGCTTTGACACTAACCAGAAAGAGTGCTCGGCCAAGCCAAGGGGAAGGAGCGTAACCTGAGGTTGTGTACTCTTGGTACAAGTGATTGCTTTTCGTTCTTTGAGCCCGCCACATGCGGTGGAGGCAGCCATGGGCTGTGAGTAGATACTAGCGCCCTTCCTTGCTCACCTCCTCTTTTGTGTGTGTGTGTGTGTGTGTGTGGTACATGATGTGTGTGTGTGTTCCCATGTACATGTACAGTATCGTCCGGCGGCCAGTACGTCTTGCTATCGGGCAACGGCACGGAGGGAGCGCCGACAAGCGCCAGTGAACAGCGGCGTCTTGAGCGCCTTGAGCGGTCCAACGCCAAGCGGTTCTACTCTATGGCCGGTGGTGGTGGTGGCAGCAGCGGTGGTATGTCGCAGGGCAGAGGCGTTCCTTCCTCTCAGCAGTCCGCATCCAGTGGTCTGCAAAGCCAGTGGGAGTGCCTGATGGGCGCTAACGCACCGACCGGAGAGTTCATTCTGGATAGGTGAGTTATGTTATGTTACCTTTATTTTACTTCACCATAGGTACAGGCATTGCGATGGCGAGGTAAAAAGTGAGTGCCACGGTGACTACTGTCAAACTGGAAATTTTCGGTGGAGATTTATTTTCGGTACAGGACATTTTTATGGTGAAAAAGGAGAAGGACGAAATGTTACGAGTTATGACTAACTGTCCACCAACGTAACCAGATCTTATACAGTCACCATAATTTAATTGGCTCACCATCCGAGGAAATTGTTACCTAAACCGAAACGCCGCCTAAAATTCAACAAGCACACAGTGTGCAACATGTATTTTTGGATCTGGAAAACTGGTTTACCGAAATTTTCGCGCTACTGAACCGTTGATTTGGGAAATAGCGAAAATGTTTCGCCAGTGCAGGAACGCTCACGGCCCCGGTGTGTTGCTGACGGCTCTCATCCGGGCCGACTCACTGTCGTGTGCACAGGTGTCTCCCACTGCGAAGGAACATATCCAGCTGTAGTGGACTGAACCTATGTGATCTGTTGCCTTCGCATACTGTTACTTTTTCACCCCTGGCAGGGGAACATTTTTGCTCCTATATGACCGCTAATTTTGACACGCCTGGCACTCCAGCAAGCACATCAATCTGCCAGTATAAAGTATATCTGTGTTACTGGTGTCAGAAACCTTCAGAAATAGACGAGCGGTTTGCCTGGCGAAAGGAAGAATTGTTCTGTTCGAACCTGATGATGAATACAGTCTTAGTCTTACTCTTAGATCCATGCTGTTGAAGGTGACAATTACTCCTCTGGTTAGAACAATAACTTGGCGACATGTCACGTGCATACAGTGTTAGGTCTAGCCATGAATGATACCCAATAGCATAAATCGTCATTGTGTACTGTTGCCGACTGGCCCTTTGCATTTCCCGCTGTCATGCTTGCGGTCCGTTGTTTCATACATAGCTAGCTAGCTGGCTTTCCAAGCTACGTCGCGTTATCATGGTTATGTTCTGCTGTACGTGCAGTCTGCGCTGCGTACCGTGCGGGTACGATTTAGTTCCGGTTTAGGTCAAGCAGTACTACTACTACTACGAGTAGTTCCGAGATCATGGCTTTTTTTCAGTTCTCTTTTTTCCTTGTAGACAAATGTAAGCTAAATAAAACGTCTTGGTTGTGTGGCCGCTTGGGTTGGGTCACAGGGGCTTTGCCATCATTCCACTACAGTTTCTGGTGCCGAAACCCGGGACTGCGGGGAGGAACTAAGGATGGCGAAAGCAGAAGGCGCGTTGCGCGCATTTAGTGGCCAGGAGGACTTGGAAGAGTTCTGGCAGAAGTTCCAGGTCGTGGGAAAAATTCAGAAATGGAGCACAGGCAAGGAGCGAATGGCGCATGTGCCTCTGTATCTATCTGGCGATGCCTTTACGGTGTGGAGACAAATGGCTACTGCGGATCAGGAGGACGAGGATAAGGTGAAGGCACGGCTTGAGGAGTCGTTCGCCTGCTCGTCGAGGGAGGCGTACTCCCAGTTTGTGCGACGTCGGAAGCGGGAAGATGAAACTGTTGATGTTTATGCATCTGACTTGCGCCTTTTGTTGACGCGTAGTGGCCACAAGGAAGCAGCAGATGGAAAAGACCCGGTGCTCGTCGAGCAGTTCTTGTCAGGTCTGCCTCGTCGATTTGCAAATCAGCTGCGCCTCAGTGCGGCGGCTAGTGGGGATCCCACGATGACACAGCTGACGAAGCAAGCACGTGCTCTCCTTGCAGTGGCGGATGAGCCTGGTGTCAGCGCGTCTGCCGTAGGACCTGAGCCAGGAGACAGCAGAGTATGCTACCTGTGCGGAGAAACTGGCCACCTGAGGAGGGACTGCCCCAAGAAGAAGAAGGTGCAGTGTTTCAGATGTAAGCGATTTGGTCACATCAAGAGGCACTGTCCTGAGGCCAAATCCGAAGGACAAGTGAGTGGCAGGAATCCTGGTGCAGGTGCCAATGCATTTGCAGTATCACCAGATGTCGCTGCTGCAGAGTGCGAAGATGATGCATGTCTTGCCCTCGTTGCCAGGCGTCGTGGTGGCCTGCCGAAAGTCTTCGTGTCGGTCAATGGAGAGCGGACCAGGCTGAAGGCAGCCATTGACTCTTGCTCGAGTCGCTCCCTAGTGTCTTCTGCTGCGGTGCGTACACTGTCTGTGCCTGTCTGCAAGCCGTCGGGTGAGGACATGATCACGGCTATTAACGGCAACTCACTCGATATCACTGGCACTGTGGAGCTGACTGTCTCCCGTGATGACAACAATGTGTACCTGCCGAAAATCAAGGCCAAGTTTCTGGTAGTTGATTCTCTGGACGTGGTTCGCTCTGACATGCTGATTGGTCTTGACGTGATCTCATCGGCCGGTGGTGTTGCTCTGGAGTATTCAGAGAGTGACGGCCAGCTAACTGGTGCTGTGTTCGGAACGAGGCCAGTCGTGGCTGCAGTCGAGAGTAAGATCAGCAATGAAGAGCACTTGCCACGCCACGTTCAGGTCCGACAGGATGGAGACAAGGTCACGTTGGAGATGAGTGACTGTGAAGTGATGTTCGACCCCGAGAAAGGCTTCTGGGAAGTCACTTGGAAATGGTGCGACGGAGCTGCTCCAAGTTCACCTATCGGTACAGGCATCGGCGAGTATTCCCGCCAAGGATTATCGGATGATCAGGAGGTGAAGTTCGTCACCGAGGTCCAAAACTGGATTGATCAAGGATGGCTAGTTCCTTATGACGAAGGCTCGCACGGCGAGATTGGCGGTGTTTTGCCTCTGCTGGCAGTGTGTCAAGAGCACAAAGTGTCCACTCCGGTCCGCCCCTGTCTGGATTATCGCGCGCTGAACAGTCTCATTGTGTCTCATCCGGGCCTGGATGCACCAGCATGTGAAGAGAAGCTTCGGAAATGGCGCCAGTGCGGCGATGCTATGGATATCCTGGATATTCGGAAGGCCTTCCTGAACGTGCGTGTACAGCCTGCCTTGCAGCGGTTTCAGGTGGTGGCTTGGAAAGGTCAGAAGTTTGTCATGCAGCGCATGGGGTTCGGCCTTTCAATCGCACCAAAAGTCATGGATGCTATTGTCCGGTGGGTTACGAAGGACTTTCCGGCAACTGACAACTATGTGGATGACATCCTGACACCACGCCATCAGACCAAGGAGCTGGCTGCCTCTCTGCAACGGTATGGTCTACCAACGAAGCCGCCTGTGAAGCTTGAGGAGGCGTGCGTGCTTGGCCTGAAGATTGATGCTGAGGGAGACCAGCTGCGATGGGATCGTCGTGACCCGACATCCATTGATATTCCTGCTGTGCTGACGAAGCGTAGCATCTTTCGCTGGTGTGGCGCCCTGACGGCGCATTATCCTGTGTGTCGCTGGCTGCGGCCGATGTCAAGCTGGCTCCGTCGTTTGGCCTGTCTGACTGATGCATGGGATGAGCCGGTTCCAGAAGAGTTGCAGGTGTTGTGTCGTGACGTCATGGCTCGGGTGCTGAAGGAAGACCCAGTTCATGGTGCTTGGAGCGTTCCAAGCGGCGAGGAACACTCCTGGAAGATCTGGTGTGATGCCTCGAGTATCGCCTATGGCGTGGCCCTGGAAGTCGACGGCCGAGTGGTAGAGGACCAATGCTGGCTGAGACTGAAGAACGACACTCGCCACATCAACCTATCAGAGCTCGAGGCGGTCATCAAGGGCCTGAGTTTGGCGGTTGAGTGGAATGTGCGCAAGGTGAAGGTCTTGACCGACTCCAAGACCGTTCATGGCTGGCTGAGCTCGCTTTTCGGCCACTTGAAGCGAATCAAAGTCAGTGGGCTGAACAAGGTGGTGGTTCACCGGCGACTCCAAATCATCGATGACTTGATCAAAGCGGCTGACCTCAGCGTTGATCTGGAGTGGGTTCCATCTGCCAGCAACAAGGCAGACGAGCTGACTAGAGTTCCTGAGAAGCTCGTCCAGTACTGGAAAGGTCAGTCAGGCGTCGGCGAGTTTGACGTCGGCGTGTCTGGTGCCTGCATCGATCCATCTGCTCTTGGCCCTGTGTCGCTCCAAGAGATAGCCAGCGAACAGGAAAGTGATGCGGCCATCACAGCGGTGATTGCAGCGAAGACAGCTGAACAGGAAGTTGTCGCTGCTGGCTACAAGAAGATCCAGAATCAACTCTGTGTTGCCGACGGTGTCCTGATGAGGAGCTTCAAGGTGCCGACTGGTGAAGAAGAAGTCGTTCCAGTAGTCCCAGAGTCTCTGGAGGAGAGAGTGTTGCGCGCAGCCCATCTTCAGACTGGACACGCCGGTTGGGAGGGAACCTGGCGGTTTCTGCAATGCCGGTGCTTCTTTCCCTCAATGGCAGCAAAGTGCCAGGACTTTGTTGGCAAGTGTCAGGCCTGTGCTGTTGCCAGTCCGCAGCGTGGCGAGAGTGTTCCAGCTACGAGGTCTGCCATGCCATCTGGTCCGTGGAACACCGTGTTCATCGACACCATGGAGCTCGGCGGCAGTCGTGATGGCAGGTTCCACTGCGTCCTGGTGTGTGTGGACGCATTTACCAAATGGACTGAAGTCGTTCCGTTGCCCCGGCACGATGCACGAAGTGTTGCTGATGCCTTTCTGTCCATCTGTGCCCGGTGGGGCCCACCAGAGATTGTGCGCTGCGACAACGGCACCGAGTTTGTCAACGCTATCATGTCGGCTTTGTTTGCGGCGTTTGGAGTTCGAGTGCAGCATGGTGCAGTTCGTCACCCGCAGAGTCAAGGCACGGTAGAGAGGTTCAATCGTACGCTCCTCACTTTGATTCGGAAGGTGTTGGAGGAAGAGGATGATTGGAAAGCGGCTCTTGATCTGCTGCTATTCAAGTACCGTGTACGCCCGCATAGTGTCACTCGAATCAGCCCGGCCGAGGCGATGTATGGCTGGAAGCCGAAGCGCCTGGTGGTGGAGAAGTCCGGCAGCGAGCTATCTGAGAGCGCTTGGGTGGACAAGCTGAAGATGCAGACGGCCCGGGTGTGGGATTATTTAGACGGCCAGTTATCGCAAGCTGACTCCATCGATGAATCGAGATCTCGTGTCGCTTGTCCCTATCAGCCCGGAGATCCAGTACTGTTGCGACGCCAGGACCGACGGCAGAAGCGCCAGCCTCCCTACGAGCGTGGTTGGGTGGTCGAGGCAGTGGTGGCATCCTCAACGGTCGTCGTTGCGCACGGTCGCGGTGGCACGAAGATCGTGAATGTTGATCTGTTGAAGATGGATCCAGGCGAGGCTGAGTCAGAGTCAACGGAAGTCGACCAGGTGGAGGCCAGTTCTAGCAGCAATGGCGAACTGCCCATTGCCTTTGACCTGCCGATTGCTGAAGATGATCAGCCAGTTGGACGAAGCCTCCGGAATCGAGATACATTGAGAGCCCCAAGGAGGTATGCTCCGTGAGTGTGGAGCTGATGGTGTGCAGTAGTTCATTTGTTCTGTGGTTCTATTATTCTAGGTTGTGTTCCTAAATGCTATAGGTTTTTCCTTTCACAGCGTTTCGAGTGTATTCCGGTCTTTGCTCGTAAAGAGACTTGTCACCTGGTGGAGGTGTGATGATGAATACAGTCTTAGTCTTACTCTTAGATCCATGCTGCTGAAGGTGACAATTACTCCTCTGGTTAGAACAATAACTTGGCGACATGTCACGTGCATACAGTGTTAGGTCTAGCCATGAATGATACCCAATAGCATAAATCGTCATTGTGTACTGTTGCCGACTGGCCCTTTGCATTTCCCGCTGTCATGCTTGCGGTCCGTTGTTTCATACATAGCTAGCTAGCTGGCTTTCCAAGCTGCGTCGCGTTATCATGGTTATGTTCTGCTGTACGTGCAGTCTGCGCTGCGTACCGTGCGGGTACGATTTAGTTCCGGTTTAGGTCAAGCAGTACTACTACTACTACGAGTAGTTCCGAGATCATGGCTTTTTTTCAGTTCTCTTTTTTCCTTGTAGACAAATGTAAGCTAAATAAAACGTCTTGGTTGTGTGGCCGCTTGGGTTGGGTCACAGGGGCTTTGCCATCATTCCACTACAAACCACAGCAGTACAGCTGGGGGGGGGGGGGGGGGGGGGGGGAGGCATGATCAGTTTTGGCTTGCGGCTCATGCCTCGTGACCGCCATTACTTGTGCAGTTTGTGTGATGATGGTCGCCAGGAGTAGGGCTCTATATATTTGTAGTTGCAGACATGAACTCTCCCTCTCTCTCCAATATACATGTAGGGTTGGTACAGGTGACCCTACCCACACCATACAGTGTGTTGGTATTTAGTTATATATATCCCATAGTCATACGAACGGTTTGTCCCACTCTTCGGCAACCTCTTTTCTGTTGCCTTCATTTGTGTTCTCTGTTGACAGCGCACTCGAAGATGTTTCGGCTCGGCCGGCTGCGCCCGATAATGAAGCGGATCGAGAGCTGCGACAACAACGTGCCAGCTTCAGCCAAGAACTCGTCCTGTCCATGCTCGACGTGACTCTCGATAGCTCTCTTCTTGAGCACCTTGAGCAGCTCAGTTCTGAATCAGAGCAGGAAAGTTGATGTTGGCTCTTTGCTTTCCTAGCTTGTCTATCATGTTGTGCTATTCATTATGCTTGTGTGTTATTCTCATTGCGCCGCTTAGGTTTTATTTTCCTTTCAAATCACCTTAGAGAACATATTGATCGCCATGCTTTATCGTGAGCGTCTCGTACTTCGCCGCACTCACCAGCACGGTCCGCCGTGACCTACTGTGACGTCCGTCCTAACCTGTGCATGGTTAAAACTCTCGACCCCCAGCAGGGCGGAGTCGGAGAGGCGTTGATCTGGCCCCGCTGATCTGCTGTTGCTTTGCCAGTGATAGTAGCACTACACTAACAGCGCAGGCAGCACCGCCAGCTTTCTGATTCGTTTGAATTCTTTCTGTGTCGGAGTTGTGTCAGCACTCTCGAACCATCTCCATTGCTAAACACTGAACAATTCGCGTCCTCGTCTCCATTGAACAGTCCACGTCCCCATTTCCATTGCTAACAATTTGCCTTTTATCCCCTGCCTCTCTGACATTTAGCCCCGCTCCTGTGTGTTTGTTCTGATGTCCTTGTCCGGTTGCAGTATCTCCTACCCACCCTGTAAACAAGTGCAGGTCACTTTCCAACTAGTATGCTTGTGTGTGTGTGTGTGTGTGTGTGTGTGTTTAAAAAAATCACCAAACTATCATATAATGCTGCTGTTCTGTGCGTGTGTGTGTGTGTGTGTGTGTGTGGTCAATGTAAGCTGTTGAATGGTGTAATCCCAGCACAAGTAACAACGTTAGTTGCTATGTCTAACATAGCTGTTCGCTATCATCGCTTCCGCGATGGGCAGGTCTGAGGTGTGTGTGTGCGTGCGTGTGTGTGCGTGCGTGCGTGTGTGTAGCTGCGTGGATGCTGGTGTCTACCACCATGTACCATAGTACAGAAAGTCGCTTTCACTACTCCCTGCTGACCATCTGTCCATCATTCTGCCAGCGCACCAAGACCATGATATTGAAGACAGACGGAAACAATGTCATTCCGTACATGATGTGCGCGGTGAATTCATGACTGAGCATTGCATTGATATCTTTTCAAAACGAAACTCTCCTTGCAAGCTTGCAGCCAGGGAGTCGTTTGGGTACGACTCGCTATTTGTAGTACTACCAAGAGTACATAACCCCCCTGGGGGTTATGTACTCTTGGTACTACCCATGGCCCTGCTTGTTGCCATAACATTTAAAAAAAAATTGATAATAAAAATGGACCACCGGCGGCCCCTTAGGGCGCGTTTGGTTGGTACGAACTAGAACAGGATTCACCAGAACAGCGCGTTTGGATGGGACTGCACCTGTTCTGGGTCGGCCAGAACCAAGGAGTCGTATTAAAAATAAAAAGTATTTTACGATCCCTGGCCAGAACATATTCATCCTGCTTGCTCCAGGCCGAGCATTTTCACTTTTTCACAGTGAAACCTGGTACATGGTGGGAACATCGATTTTGGTCCCAAATGATCACGTGTTGGGTTGGACTCGTCGTACCGCGTACACAGTGACCATGGTGACGAGCCGGGCTACCCCACACATTTTGAAGAAAGCACCATGTACCAAGTAATAGTTTGGCATATTTTTCACAAAAAATGTGCTCTGTTTAACATGTTTCTGGAGTACCGTTTGGTTGACATGAGGCTGCGCCATGTGCACCAGCTGTTCGATCCTGTTCTAGATCGTACCAACCAAACGCACCCTAAGCAGAAATAATTATAAAAGCTTCGAAACTTTTATTAATTTTCTGCTTGTTCCAGACCGTCTCATCTCTCTGCTCATGACATGAGCTCAGCACCGTCCTTCTACGCTAACACAGCAGTAAAAAAGTCGTCCATCATTCGATCAGCAGTGCAGTATGTCCACTGAAGTGGAGTGCAGTGGTTGTGGATGTGGATCGTCCGCGACAACTCTAAAGTTTGTTTCGTGTCTGCACGCACTGTGTGCGTCGTGCCTGCAGAACAGCTTGGGATTTGATGGCAGCATAACATGTCCGCAATGTTTGTCCGCTACGCCATTGCCTGTTGGCGTTGAGCCATTGCGATCGCTACCAAACGTCATCCGAGCAAGCAATGCGGTGAGCATGGTGAGCGCAGCGGCTGCACCACAGGGATCGAGTGTCTTACCACCAATACAATGTTCGTGTGATGAGTGCTGGGATGAAACAGCTGCTACAGTAATTTGCGAGGTTTGTGACGTGAACTTTTGTGAGTGTCATGGTACTGCTCACGTGAGATCGAAATCAGGAAAAGGCCACACCGTCAACATGATCAACCCACTGTCTAAATCTTTAGGAGAGACTGAGTCAGCTAGCATCAGCAGCAGCAGCAGCAGTGGCAGCAACAGTGGCAGAGTGGTCCAGCATAGATGTGCTCTACACACGAGCCAAGCGCTGAAGCAGTTTTGCTTTGATTGCAATCTGCTGTTGTGTACGCAGTGCATACATACTGGAGCACACAGACAAGATGAACACAAGGTGATGGATATTCCCTGTGCTGCACTAAACACCCGTGACACACTTTCCACAAAGCTGAGCAGTTGCACCGCAAACTGTGATGGTGTTGTCAAAAGTGCCATAGAAGCTGTGGAAAAGAACATTCGAATGGTACACAGTCAAACAGAGTATGCTTCAGAGAGGGTAGCTGATTTCTTCAAGCCACTTATGGAGGCTGTGAAGAAACGAGAGGACTCTCTCCTAAATGAGCTGGATCAACTGAGGTTGAAGAAACTGGAACCTCTTGAGAAGCAACTGCATCAACTTCAGGATTGTGTGTCGAAAGGAGAGAGTGCTGCATTCATATTGCAGTCTTTTGAGGACGATGTTGAGCTTCTGCGTGTGTGGTCCTGGGTGGATGCGGCTATCAGCAAAACCATGAAAGCTGCTGAAGACGAGAGAGAGCCATGCGTCACCAGTGGCATCGTGTTTGGCACGACGGACACTTCGTCACTACTCAATGACATCAGCAAGGCGGGGACAGTGCTGGACGTTGCTGATGGTACATTGAAGTGCCCCAAACAAGCCTGTGTCAATGACCATTTGCGCATCTCTATTGAGCTACCAGCGAGTGCGGTCTCCAGCACAATAAAGCAAGAACAACTGGACAGCCTTGGACTGGAAATATCAATATCCGGCCTCTATGACAACACACGCATCGTGTGTACGCGGCTTGAACTTGCTTCTGGACGAATACAGACTGAACGTATTAGATTGGCAGCTGGTCGCTACAACATCTCAGCCAAGATTGGCTGCGGCCGTCTGAATGGTTGTCCTCTGGAGCTCGAGGTGTGGATTCCATATTATGATTATGATTCCGATTCCGATTAGTGAAATCCTACTCGCTGCCTGTTCATCCAGTAGTCCAAACCTGGACCCAGGCTTTCCCACTGTACAAGGCACAGTGTTTTTGGTTGGAATGGCCATAATGCTGGTAGCCTTCCGAGTCACACCGGAGCAGCCCTTGGTCAATGCTGGTAAACTGATGACATGATTCATCTCACAGTTGATCGTGATTGTCACACTCTCACTGGTACACAGGAGAGAATGGGCGACATGGAAGCAATCCTGAAATCACGAGTAACCTGTACTGGATTGTTGCACTCCTCAACAAAAGACGACAAAATCAGTTTGTTTCGATATGTTCGAGGACATGTGCATTATGGTTAGGGCTGAGTCGGGTAGCATTTTCTTTGGGTATGGGGTCCGGGTAGTTTTCCACGGGTACCCGATCGGGTAATGTTTCTATGGTAAGACCGCAATGCACCCCGGCCCCTTCCCTTACATACTGGGTAGACATGCGGAGTATAATGTGAATTATTTGTACACGTGCACTGTACATGATGTCATCTGCCACTTCGGGTTTTCGGGTACTATTCGCACGGTCCCCGTCTAGCCGAGGTCCTCACGGGTACCCGACTACCCGTGCACGCCACTAATTATGATGATGATAATTTTGACTGATTTGCCAATTCTGAACTAGAATAATATTACCGATTATAATTCCCCACTTTCCTTTCAGACAATCTTGCAGTTGAGTGAGCTGACTAGACCCTTTTTGCGCATTATTACTGAAGTATGATTTTTTAGTATTATTATTATTATTATTTTTTTTTTTTGGAAGGATTGGGAGACTTCAAATTCAAAGGATCAGTCAGGGAAGAGAACTGCCTGAAACAAGAAGAAAAAACGCCAGACCCACCAGGACCAAACCCGGGACCTTGCTTGTCATGAGCAATGCTCTAACCAGTGCTCATGACAAGCAAGGTCCCGGGTTTGAGTCCTGGTGGGTCTGGTGTTTTTTCTTCTTCTCTTTTCAGGCAATTCACTTCCCTGACTGATCCTTTGAATTATTATTATTATTTTTATTACCCAATGCTGTAGACGAATATGGTGGTAAAGACACACCTGGCAATACGGCGGTAAACACACGCCCCTGCCCACACACGCTCTCTAAGCTGCAAAGTTCTGGCACAGAGCTCTCCTTCTCACCACCACCACCACCACCACCATCAGTTCACACCTGGCGCCTAGTCGATGCATGGTATCCGACATAGCAGGCTGGTACATCAAGCAGCGCATGGCACATAGAAGATGACACAGCAACGGCATAGCTCGATTGCGTACTGTACTGTAGACATCACAATTTTGATAGGGCAATCCCCACAGGCCTTTAAGGCCTTCTTACAGGGTACCCTAGTGCATGATGCAAGGGCGTCGGAAGCGGTACAACTGGTATGGCTCGAGCCGTAGAGTAGAACCCGGGTTAGGGATCCACCTAACTCTGCGAGCTGCGCGGACATAGCTGGACTCAGTTGTACAGGGATGGGCAAAAAGATGTGCAAAATGACTTTTTGTGAGTAGATGGACCCCGGAAAAATAGTTTGGAGCGAAAAGAATTACGGCTTCCTCGGAAACCGACGCGACGGGGGGACCCCCCTTGGACTGGAAATTAAATCCCGGTATAAGGATCACCCGCACAATGTACGTGCCAAGTGCCCCCCCCCCCCCCCCCGGGCTCCGATCCCTAATCCGGTGTGACCCTTAAAATAGTGGAAAAAAGAAAATATCTTGTAGCAGACTCCACCCTGGCAATAATAATCACAATGATCTCATCTAAACTCATAGTCAAAAATATGCTAGAGAGTGGAACAGTGATGTTAGCGGATCTAAATCGTTGTTGCCATTTTAATTAGGGCTGAAACGATCATCCATTTAGCCCAATCGATTACTCTTTATCATGACGATCGATTATTCGATTATAATCTTTAAAGGGGAAGTTAAGGCAAAAATTAAAATTTCACCAGTTGTAGTCTTCGGGGTGCTGAGTCGAATGGTCTTGGTCCGAGGAAGCTGAGACGCTCCCTTCCTACTTGAATCCCAATCGAACTCGCGCACTTCCACCGAAACTGGGTGACTGCGCCCTACGAGATGGGGATTTGTATGCAAAATGTCACTAAAAGCGCCATTTCGTTCTTATAAAAGCACGGATGACCGCGATTGGCCCATATGTTGTAGTCTTTGGGACGCTGAGTCGACTGGTTTTGGTCCGAAAAGCCTGCGATGCGGCGTTCCTCCTTTATTCCCAATCGAACATGGTTGAAGAAGCGGTCACGTGCTCCTGCGTACACCAGTCACCTGGTCACCGTGCCTGCAGGGTACAACTTACTAGCCTGTTTGACCTTTTTTGGGTGCAGTCCTGTCACTCGAGTTGAACTCGAGTTGAACCTTGGTGTGAAAGTTGTCACCTGCTGGCGTGGTGACTAGGTGATTTGGGCACCCAGGACCACGTG